AATGTAAAAATATTTGATATATTTATTTTACATAACACACATTTTTTTCAACAGAAGCTTAGGATATCAGAAACAAATGAATTAAAAAAAACGCGGAATACAAACAATTTTGGTGTAAAATGTCGCCTGTAGCAGAATCTAGTTGCCTGTCTAGCCCCCTGTGGCTCTTTAGGTCAAGAAGACTCTGCAAGGGAGAGTGGTCGTTTGGGGCACCCCCACGGAGCGACGCGAACGCACTCATGGCAAAGCAAAATGTAGGTCCGGTCATTAATTTTTAAATTAGCCTGTGGCCGTTGTGTCGTCACCGGAAGCGCTGTCCCAGCACAAATCGGTGTAGAAGACGCCGAACTGCAGCGTCAATGGTCTGTGGCAGAGACGATTTGGACGTTCCCTGGCGACTACCTAGCTTAGTGATAAAAGACCCATAGTCTCTGCGACGGAGAATGTACTGCCACGTCCCTTTGGGCACCCCGAGGCAGAGACCGGCCATTTTGAACTTGCTGGCAAATTTGAATATTGTTCTCCCCTGTGTTGGTGGTTCGGGGACAACATGTATTTGAATGAACTTACTTTCGTAACATTTGTTGCTTTGTTTGTGTTTCAGAATAATGTTGTTGGAAAAGGAAATTAAATGATAATATGCCCGAGTGCTGTTGCCGGAAAATCAAGATTTTTTTTTAAAATTACACAAGTATACAACTCGTATTTTCGTATTTGGTTCCAATTATATTACAATGTAATTTTGTGTGTAAATGGAGATATTGTATTGTTAAATAAAGTACGTATATTACCATATCAGTTTATTTTTAATAACTGTATACAACCAGAGGTACATTACTTGGGGTTTGTAACTACGGTGACATGATACCAAGATCCCGTCACAATCTCGCTCTCGCATAAGCGTTCCAACTCAGAAAAATGCGAATGCGCATGCCTGAGGTAACTAGGATACTGGGATGTCCAGGTGGATCAAAATAGCTGCCCACGATATGACGGATTACGAAAACTATATTTTCTGTACATTTTCGATGTATTACATTTTTCACTGTGATAGTGACAAGAAAAGTTTATTTTTTTCATTACAAACCTTGAACATTAAAGTTGATATGCGTCATGTCAGAAGGTCGTAGCCTCAGTCTTGCTATCTACGAGAAGAGACTTGAATGGGATCTTGACATGATGTCACCATACAGTACTATACGAGTACCTCTGATACAACGTATTTTATGCATCACTGAAAAACGTAATTATGGCATTATGACAATTTACGTAAATATCGCATAAAAAGGACTACTTTTCTGTTATAAAATACTGTTATTATAATGTTTTTTAAAATGACACTAAAGTTATGACATTTAAAACTGCAATTCAAGCATTTTTTGACAAACGTCACTATGACGTACCCAGGGATGATACATATGTGGCATTTAAAAATAACAGTATTATATTTTAAAAATACGTTATTAGTATGATATTGCAAAGCATAATTATGCTGTTTTTTTGCAAATGTCATTATAACATAATTATTTACATTGTAAATGCATCATTTAGTAATGTTATAAAGTTGGACTCA